GATCACGGCCGAGGTGATCGAACACCTGGAGCGCCTGGCGCTGGTGGATTTTGGCAGCCGCGAGGCTGTGGCGCGGCTGGAGAAAGCCATCGCCTTTGCCGACCGGCTCCACGAAGTGGACACGAACGGCGTGGAGCCCATGGAGTCGGTACTGGAGGACAGGTAAACTCGCGGCCCTGGCCCCCGAAGCCCCGGACTGTGGCGCATCTGTGTCCCCATTTTAGAGGGAGAGTCTTAGTGACGTAGAGGAACTTACCCACGGCCATCCGGTGCGTACGTGGCTTCACTCTTCCTCTTCTGCACTTTGCATGTCACTCTCTCCGGGTGTAGGCTGGACTAAAGCTCTACCTGAGCGCCCCGCCTACCCTTAGGACGCACTGCACCTCTCGCTCAACTTCCCAGCAACTGGCCTACTTACCGCTTCCGCTTGCCAAGTACGTTTCCGCGCTAGGAACGTGGCACCTGCTGGTCCCATCTCCTTGGCCAGTTGACCACAAAATGTCACCCTGGATGGCTCCTTAACTTACAACTCTCTACTCCTATCCTCAGAAAGGTGTCTCCAGACCACGTCAAGACCCTCTCCCCAGCTACTTCCTAATTCTTAAAAAAAAGAAAAAGAATTTTAATTAATACTAATATGCTTTGGCTGATTATCGATGCTAACCAGTAGGATTCGAGGTCATTGAATGACTTGGTTAGTGCTATATTACTACATCAAATATGCTGGTATGGAAAGAGTACCGAGATTTAATTAATAAGCAAAAGTCAGAACACGGTGTCTGGTATTATCAATTCTTTAGGGGTAATAGAATCTCAAGCATATTTTGGCCTATGCCAAGGTTTGTTTTGTTTTGCACACACACACACACACAAATTTTAAAGAAATTGTTACCAGTGCTTAGTTTTTAGGAAGGTAATTAGGAATGGGAATGGGGACTTTGGACATTTCATTTTGCCAGAAGCCGGAACACAAATTGTTAAGGTACAAGACCAGGACACTAGTGAAGT